TTCCTTCCGAGGAGTGGCTGGTGGGTTTGAACCGCCAGCCGTCTGGTTAGCAGGCAAGTGTCTTAGCCACTATGCTACCAGATGTGTGGGCAAAGAATATTGAACACAGTGTTTCACTCTATTGTACATATGGTTGCTGTGACTCAGAATTAACTTGACAGCACCTAACAACAACAACAACCAGAAGAGTGAAAAATTCTCTCGTGAAGCCAGAATGCTTAGATGGGAGGATGGTGAGACTTTGCCTTTCATACTTTGGTCATGTTATCAGGAAGGGACAGACCCAGAGAAAAATGTCATGCTTGGTAAAGCAGAGGGTCAGTGAAAAAGAGGCAGGTCCTTGACAAAATGGATTGGCACAGTGGCTGCAACAATAGGCTCAAACACAGCAGTGATTGTGAGGATGACACAAGACCAGGCAAGATTGCATTCTGTTGTGCATAGGGTCAAAACAGTATCTAACAACAATATCTTCTAGTGTAATACTTAACACACTCAGCTGCTAATGAAAGGATGGCGTTTTGAGTCCTCCCAGAGACGTCTCAGAGCAAAGGCTTAGAAGATCGCTTCTGAAAAATAGCCATTGAAAAACCCCATGGATCCCAATTCTACTTTGACACACATGAGTCGCCATATATCAGAATTGATTTGATGGCAACTTTATTGTTTTATTTTCTTTTGTTTATGTTCTGATGATGAAGTTACAGCAGTGAAGAAAACAAATTCCCTCAAGGAGGTTACATGACCTTATCATCAAATGATGCATACTTTAACTACAAACCTAGGGAATCGGTAATCATAAAATGTAGTCATCAAGTGCCCAAAGTCTGGAGCCAGATGCCCTAGCTTTGAAAGTGTTCTCTGTCACTTCCCAGTGGTATAACCTTTGTCAAGTTTCTTAACCATTTTATGCCTCAGTTTATTCATCAATAAAAGGGGAATATAATGGATTAATATACATAAAGTGCTTAGATCACTTGTCACTAATCAGCACCATGTAAGTGGCAGGCATTACTTGTTAAGAAAAATTTATCTAAACTGAAGTTGTGGGAAAATAGTCTATAATAAGACTATTCTTTATACTAAAAGGATGACAATCAGGGAAATAAAGACAAGAAAAAAAGATGCCAAATACAAATACATTACTGGTGTTTGTACTATTTTTTCAAAGAAGATTGTGGTAGGTAAGAGAAGCTCAATGGTTAAACTACTTACATCTCTGACCATTTCTTGATCTGTGAAGGAGTAACAAAAGACTCCCTTTGTAGGTTTTGTGTAAGCATTACGTAAAGTAAGTGATTGGTGCACAGTGCTTGGCACAGACTGGCTGAGAGTGAGAATTTAGTAATGATGGCTGTCATAAATTGAATTGTGTCCCTCAAAAATATGTGTGAACTTGTCTGGGCCATGATTCTCAGTGGCTTAGCAGTTATTTAAGGATGTCATCATCCTCCACAATGTGATCTGATATGATCAGGCCTGATCTAATATAAAGGGAGTTTCCCTGGAGTGTGAGCTGCATCGTCTTTTACCTTACAAGAATAGAAGGAGAGAGAAATGAGTAGAGAGAGAGGGACCTACTACAACCAAGAAAGAAGAGCCAGGAAACGAGTGTGTCCTTTGGACCCAGGGTCTCTGTACTAGGAACCTCGTAGAACCAGGAGACAGAAAAAGAGAGAGGCTTTTCCTAGAGCTGGCACTCTGAATTCAGACTTCTAGCCTCCTAAACTATCAGAGAATACATTTCTGTTTGTTAAAGCCATCCACTTCTTGTATTGGTGTTATAGCAGTACTAGATAACTAAGACAGTGGCTGTAAAAGTGGTAACTGGATTCTATTGAATCGACATCATGTATTTAGATAGTTTTTGCCACTTCATCTCAATTCAAAAAAGATTTAAGGAAACTTTCAAGGAGAGCGTTTCTTCAAACCATTTAACATTGGTCTCAATAAAAGAAAACACTGTGATTCTCAGTCAAATTATATATTTTAAAGGTTATGTTGCACCACCGGTGAAGAGGAGATCCTTCCAAAAAGCATGGTCAATCTGTAGAAACATGATCTCCAGGTCCAGAAAGAATTGGGATTTGTCTGACTAACCTTCATATACATATTTTTCATATTCTACACTTATCATGATATTTTTGCAATACCTTTACTGATAAATTTTTGAAATGTTTCATCTGTGTTCATAAATGAAAATAGACTTCTATTTGTAAATTTCCATATTGAGTGTTGGTAACAAGATTATAATTGGCCTCATAAAATTAGTTAAAGTTCTTTCTCTACTTTTTAATTCAAGAAAAATTTGTTAAAAAATAAAAGGAGAGTAGAGTAATATTCTATTTCTTCAGTGGTTGATTTTACGCCTAGAAAACCATCTAATCTAGTATTTCCTTTGTTTGTTTATGAATTCCATTTCTTTAACTGTTATTTGTATAATCAAAATTACCATTTTTCCTGTGTCAATATTGGTATTTTTCTATTTGTGCTTTTATTTTATCAAGTTTTTCAAATTTATTAGCATAAAATTATTGAAAATATTCATTTCTAATATTTTATTTATATTAAATGAACAATTATTTATCATTTTTTATGTTTAATTTGCAATTTCAATTTATTTTTTCCTGATTATCTTTGCCTTGGTATTTTCAAAGTTTGTAGTGTTATTAAATTTTTACTCTCAAATTCAGTAATTTCTGTTCTTACATTAATTTTTCCCTTCTTATTTCTTAGATTGTAGTAATCTTTTTTTCCTAGCTTCTTGAGTTGAACAATTTTTGAGTTGATTTTCTGAAAACTATGTGAACTTGTAAATTTTCTTTAAGGACAGCTTTAAACATATACCCTCATTTCATTCTCTAAATGTTTAGCTTTACCCACAGCTTCTTCCTGATTTCTTTGTAACCCAAGGGTTGACTTATTTCCTGGACATATTTAATATATACTGTTTTGTTGTTGAATAGATGAAACTAGAACTAATTTTGATCATTAGCTTCAGTCTTTGCTTCCAGTAATTCTGTTCTGAGTGTGTTCTAAAACACAATCTCTAGAACATTTGGAGTAACAAAATTAAGCTTTAATAGTAAGAGAATGTCATGCTTTAAAAAATAAGTAAATAAATACAAAACAACCAAAATGTAATTCTTAAACATTCACATAAATGTAAACAATTCATTGAAAGACAATTTTCCATTATCTGGAAGAAAACATCTGATGTGTTCACACCTGTTTAGAACAAGATTCCAAAATATTTTAATAGACCTAAAATTGATAGATCACATGTTTTGGTGAGAAGAACAATATGAGTTGCAGAAAATTAGTAAGAATTTGACTGTGATTCAGTTTTGCAAATATATTACATATTATATCTTTGTGATTGAATTCACAAGGAGGTATGAATGTAAAAGAGGAAGAAACTTAAAGACTCATTATAAAAAGTCAGAACACTTTCACTTGTCAATTTTAACAACAATCTTCAAAAGTTTAGAAGATCAATATTGTTCTCTATGAATTATAACTCTATTCTTTTGAGGGTTGCTATATTTAGAATTCTATAATACTAATAGGAGCTCTGGTAGCATAGTGCCTAAGGCACTTGACTGCTAACCAGAATGCTGGTGGTCCAAACCCACCAGCCACTCCTCGGAAGGAAGGATGGGCAATATACTTCCTTAATGATACTTCTTCAGAAACCCAACGGTCCGACTCGATGGCACATAACAACCACAGCAATATTATAATGCAAAGGAAAACTTTTAATGCCCCAACATCACAAAAGTGAGGATCTTGTTCTAATGCCTATAGAGCTTTTGGTCATCACCTTCTGGTAGATATCGAGCTTACTAACAGATTACTTAAATTAAACAAAGAAAACTTTAAGAAAAAAAAATTTTAAAAAAATCAATGACGTATTTAAATGTACCAAACTTTTACATCAGTCTATTTATTTAAAAATATATGTATCAAGAGTTGCCATTTTTATAAATAAATAAAATAATTAAAGCTAAAAAAAAAAAGTTACCATTTCTTTACCAGATGACTACCCTGTAAGTCATTTGTAAGAAATGAAGATTTGTTTATACCAAGAAACAAAACATAACATTTTCCTTTAAAATGTTCAGTGTCCTATGGAATTCCATCTGAAAGCAAAGTTATGTTACGATCTCAATAAACTAATAAATAAATGAATGTATCTACTGGGGAATATTAATAGATCTGATACTGTTTCCATGTATTAAAATCTTAATCAGGGCTTTGGGATGACAGTCTATGTTGTGCCAGTTTTCTGTGAGCAAATAAAAACATAACAGGTAAGGATACCATTGAAAAAGTGCAACCTGGCTTAAAGGTATGCTGATATTCTTAGAACAAATTCTGACTCATTATTTGTAGGAAAGAGTTTATGGGAAACTTTATAAAATCAGTTTTGTGACTTAAATGAAAGCTCTTTTCTGTCAGTAGTTTGATAACATTGAATGGGAAAATGCTGTTGATTTTGTGATTTGTTAAAAAAAATTAAAAAAATATTTTAGGATGCACTACCTGTTTATTTGAAATTGCATTACTGATTATCTCTCCATCCCTATCCACAAGTTACCCCTATAACTTTCTCTCTCTGTTTCACAGAAAAAAATTATGACATCAGCATCCAAAGGAATTCTCCGCCCATTTTTAATCGTCTGCATTATCCTGGGCTGCTTCATGGCATGTCTGCTCATTTATATCAAGCCCACCAACAGCTGGATCTTCAGTCCAATGGAGTCAGCCAGCTCAGTGCTGAAAATGAAAAATTTCTTCTCCACCAAAACTGATTATTTTAATGAAACTACCATTCTGATTTGGGTGTGGCCATTTGGGCAGACTTTTGATCTTACATCCTGCCACACAATGTTCAATATCCAAGGATGCCATCTCACAACTGACCGTTCCCTGTACAACAAATCCCATGCTGTCCTGATCCATCATCGAGATATTAGTTGGGATCTGACTAATTTACCTCAGCAGGCTAGGCCCCCCTTCCAGAAATGGATTTGGATGAATTTGGAATCACCAACTCACACTCCCCAAAAGAGTGGTATTGAGCACCTGTTCAACCTCACTTTGACTTACCGCCGTGACTCAGATATCCAAGTGCCTTATGGCTTCTTGACGGTGAGCACAAACCCCTTTGTGTTTGAAGTGCCAAGCAAAGAGAAGTTGGTATGTTGGGTTGTAAGTAACTGGAACCCTGAGCATGCCAGAGTCAAGTATTACAATGAACTAAGTAAAAGCATTGAAATCCATACCTATGGGCAAGCATTTGGAGAGTATGTGAATGATAAAAATTTGATTCCTACCATATCTACTTGCAAATTTTATCTTTCCTTTGAAAACTCAATCCACAAAGATTACATCACTGAAAAGCTCTACAATGCTTTTCTGGCTGGCTCTGTACCTGTTGTGCTGGGGCCATCTAGGGAAAACTATGAGAATTATATTCCAGCAGATTCATTCATTCATGTGGAAGATTATGACTCTCCTGGTGAGCTAGCAAGGTATCTGAAGGAAGTTGACAAAAACAATAAGCTGTACCTTAGTTACTTTAACTGGAGGAAGGACTTCACCGTGAATCTGCCACGATTTTGGGAATCACATGCATGCTTGGCTTGTGATCATGTAAAAAGGCATCAAGAATACAAGTCTGTTGGTAACTTGGAGAAATGGTTTTGGAATTAAACATTTCCATAATTTTCACCCTTGCTAAGATATTTTGTTGACATCTGATCTAAATTTTTAGGAAAAGAAGAGAGACTACATTTTGCTTATGTGTCACAATTTATTTTTATCACCCTGTTTGGGTAACATGTATATTTTGATGGAGATTTTTAAGAGCTTAGCATTAGCAATCATTCCATTTGGTTTTAAATTATCCTGTATATACCTAATTATGTGTACTGGAAATAATTTATTTTTCACTATCATTTTTAAACATTTTTGTTTAAACACATTTTGTAGTTGTCTGTAATATAAATTTGTGATTTTATCTTTGTGTTTCTACATTGATCAGCTCTTTAATCTATTTGGGAAATGAAGATGCATATCTTAAAATACCATGAAGGACTTTCATTAAATACTGTAATCACTAGTGGCAAGTTTGCATAATATAACAAAGAAAGAGTGTGCTTTAATTGAATTCTAACCTCTTTGACTTCAAAGGTAAACAAAGTCTATTCACATAGTGAATAAGAAAGACAGTGAAGCATAACTCTTCTATTCAGGAAGCTATTAGACTTCTCATTTATTTTCATTAACCTGACTTGCAAATGCAGCCATTTATTCTCATGATCTTAAGATAAAATGAATATTTTTAAATGTCCAATTTGTTGAGATTTTCAGTACATGAGAAATAATCCTAATAATGCTGAATGAAGGAGCTCTAAGACAATTTTCTTGCTGATTCTGATAACATTCATTGTTTAATAAAATAATTTCCTCAAAAACAACAAAAATCATATCTGTAAGTACAAATTATGAATGGTACCATTTAAGTCGAATTTTTAATAGCATATATAAATTTAAAATATTTTTCTGAAGCACCAATACTTTAAACAATTTTATTTTACCATACACAGAAGCAAATGGATACAACATTTGAGAGACAACAATTTGGATACAATATTATCATATCTAACAACCTAAATAAAAACATCAAGGTATTAAATATAATAAAATGGAAATCTGTAGAGAATACACAGTGCCTATCACAGGGTAAAGATTCACTGCATACTTGTCGAATGAATACATGAATGGCATTGAAGGTCATGGAAAATTTTTATTGCTTGTTTCAATGAAGTGACAGTTCTGGCCTATAGGTACTAATTGGAGATGATGCTTTATATTCTATTTTAGTAATTATTTATGCATAACATATATGACCATGGATTTCATGGGCTTTGTCAAACCAAAATAAACCCATTATTACACTAAGTTTTTAGAGAATCCAACCCTGAAAGTACAGTTACCACACAACATTTCTCCTCTATAAGGTTAGAAAAGGAAAGCTGAATATAAGAGATCATAGGTAAAATTGGTCTAATTGCTCAAAAAGGACATCATGTTTGGAAAAGTAGAGAGTTGGCAAAAAGGAGAAAACCCTTAATGAATGATTGACACAGTAGCCTCAAAAATAGCCTTGTTGTTGTTGTTGTTATTTGCCGTCGAGTCGGCCCCAACTCATAGCGACCCCTCCTTGGGTTTCCAAGGCAGTATCACTATGGAAGTAGGATTGCCCAACCTTCCTTCCGAGGAGTGGCTGGTGGGTTTGAACCGCCAGCCTTCTGGTTAGCAGTTAAATGCCTTAGGCACTATGCTACCAGAGCTCCTAAAAATAGCCTTAGACATATCAAAGGTCAAGGAGATGGTGAGGCCTGAGCAAAGCTTTCTTCTGTTAAACATAAGGTCTCCATGAGTCACAGCCAAGTTGATGGCAACTAACAAATGGAAGTAAAACAAAACAAAGCAAAACTATATATATATATATATATATATATTTGTGTCTATATGTGTGTGTGCGTACATAGTGCTTAGTGGTTAACCACTTGGCTGCTATCCAAAAGGTCAGTTTGAATCTACCAGCTGCTCTGAGGTAGACAGATGAGGCAATCTGCTTCTGTAAAGATTGCCTTGGAAACCCTATGGGGCAGTTCTACTCTGTCCTAAGGGTTGCTATGAGTTGGAATCAACTCAATGGCAGTGGGTTTGGTTTGGTTTTGGTAGAATTAGAATGCTCTGAAGACATCCATTTGGGTCTGTGAGTTACCAAAAAAAAAAAAAAAAAAACCCTCACTGCCGTGGTGTCCTTTCCAATTCATAGTGACCCCTTCTTGGGTTTCCAAAGCAGTATCTCTACAGAAGTAGATTGCCCAATCTTCTTTCCAAATCTGTGAGTTAGGCTATTACTTTTCTTATACAGGTTGGCATCAGAAGAACCAACTCAGAATCTTCTCAACCAGATGAAAATTAGAGAGACAAATTGAAATTCAGTAAGGAGATGTATCCAATGGTGCAGATTGCCTTGTGAAGGAAGGAGCTTTCCATAGCACTAGGAATGAGCTCTGGTGGCTCAGTGCCTAAGGCATTTGATTGCTAACCGCCAGCCACTCCTCAGAAGGAAGGTTAGGCATTCCACTTCCGTAGAAATACTGCCTCAGAAACCCAAGGAGAGGTCACTATGAGTTGAATCCACTTGACAGCCTTTAGTTTGGTTTGGGTTTTTTTAGGAAGATTTAGGCAGAAGCTAAATGACCACAGAAGATGCCTGCACTGGTGAAAGTTCGTTTCACCCTCAGGATCATAATTTTATTCATGATTGTACAGTTGCTCTGTGTCAGGTAATGCCCTGAGCACAACAGAGATAAAGATGAACAAGGAGACACATGTAAGATACATATTCCAGCCTAAGTCTATGCTTACGCACTTACTACATTCAATAGAGCTTATATGGGTGAGCATTGATTCAATGAAAAAAAGAAAGCAAGTTGTCCCAGTTGCTTATTGACATATTTCTGAGCTAGAAACACTCTTTGTTCACTTGATTTGACATAGTTCCTGTTCATTTGATTTGACATAGCTCCCCTTCATATCATCTTGTCTAACTATAGTGCATCACGATATATTATGTTTGTGTGGACTCCTTCATATATGTATATAACTATATGTGTGTGTGTGTGTATATAATATATATGTATTTATTATATATATATATATATATATATAAAATCTCCACCCACTTTTATTTCATCATATTAAAATAGCCAAATTCATACATGTGCATTTCCTTTGTCATCTATATAAAATATATAGACATCTAAAGATGATGAATTGTCAACAAGTTTTAAAAATATGTCTTCTTTGAAAGCTGAAAAGCATCATTTAATATCATGACAATCTGCCTTTGCTGCAGCTGATGCTCATGATTTCAAAGACCTGAGAGGCCTTAAGGTAGTTGCCTCCATTGTTGACTATGAGTTTGGACTCTTTCTGGGACTATGACTATAATTACATGCTCATAATAATCAAAGTCAAGGCAATAATACTAAGTGACTAAATGGCACATATATGTATTGAAAACTCATTACCAAGTCCCAGAAAAATCCGTTTTCAGTATTTGAAGTGCCCCAGAGGATGGTGCAGGACCTGGTGTTTCATTCTGTCATACAATGGGTCACTATGAGTCGGAACTGACTCTGTGGCACCTAACAAGAACATAAAGTAAAAGACTCAAGTGAACCCTTCAGTTCTAGGTCCATTCTATGTTTTAGGGCTGGAAGGACTAATAGTAAGATTTATGCACCAGTCTTTTCATTCTACTTATGAATTAACTAGTTCCGGAGATAATACTTTTCCAAGATACACATGCACACTCACAACATAGTGACATAGCCAAGATTAGAATTCAAGAAATCACTTAATTCAGTGTTCTTTTTCATCACCTTCCCACGTTATCATAGAAATATGTCTCAATTCCTATAAATGTGAATGCTTATTAGTATTAATAAGGCCTATAAAATGGCACATTCTATGTGAAAGCATTATGACTTTTGAGAAGATATACAGCTAAATAGAACACCAAAATTGTTAGCTTTTTTTTTTTTTTCTGGTTTAAATATTTCAGAAGTTGATCTTTAGCAGAAGGAAATGGATTTTCACTACATTCTAAGTGAAACACCACCCTCAATATGGAATAATGTTCTCAGATATTCATTTAATAAATCTTGTGGATTGAAGTTCTTTTCTTTATTATAACCTTTGTTAATGATGATATAGACTGAATTGCCCATACTAAACAGTATTACACTCTGAAAAAGACATGACAGTCATATGTTTTATGACAGCCATAAGTTTTACCATATGAAGTAGAAACTAAAAAAAAAAAAAAGGTACTTAATAGAAAACTAGTATCAGCTTTAACAGGAACCCTGGTGGTGCAGTGGTTGAAGTGAAGTGCACAGCTGCTAACCTAAAGGTTGGTGATTCAAATCCACTGACTACTCCGTGGGAGAAAAATGTGGCAGTCTGCTTCTGTAAAAAATTTCCAACTTTGGAAAACCTCTAGGGGCAGTTCTACTATGTTCTAAAGGGTCACTATGAATTGGAATCGAGTCCATGGCAGAAAGTTTGGTTTTGATGGTTTTATCAGCTTAAAATTTTTAGGTTTACTTTAAAGTCCTGAATATTTACTACAAAAGTCCTACAATTTGCAAAAATGTTTCTAGTTAGGAGGACTTAGAAAGCTTAGAGGATCTGGTGTAAAGTGGCATAATATTTAGGAATTCTCTGCTGAGCCTTTAACTTTTTGCTTCCTATTGGAGGCTAAATGTGAAAAGATTAAGAAACTATGTGATTGCTATTTTTTACCTATCTACTTTTTATGGTAGCATAGTGGCTAAGACACTTGACTGCTAACCAGAAGGCTGGCGGTTCAAACCCACCAGCCACTCCCTCTGAAGGAAGGTTGGGCAATCCTACTTCCGTAGTGTTACTGCCTCAGAAACCCAAGGAGGGTCGCTATGAGTCGGGTCCAACTTGATGGCACATAACAACAACAACACTTTCAAACTAGATTCCATGAGGCTAAAAGTAATCACCTGGAAACTTTCTATGAATTTGTTATTAAAACCAGTTTTAGACCCTTATAAGCTTGTGCTTGACCATATCTTAGAGTATCCATGAACTCT